TCAAAATAACATGAACTTTTTAGCTTATGAAGCAAATATTTGGTTCAAACCTAGTGGAGTCGATTCGTATTTTATTTAGAGTCCCGAATAATCTTAAATAATGATTACCAGAATTTTTTTTCCTGTGAATGAATCGTAGAATATTCACGGGGCTTACAGTGGCAAGTTCAACCTCAAAATTTTGTTTTGATTGCAAATTTTTTCAAAATATTGTTACAGTATTTCAAGTACGAAAAAACGAAACATGAATACCTTAAAATAAAATTTATAACATGTAGTTACACAATTTATTTTTCGAAAAATCACGCAACTAGCTTCACTAAGAATTTCAATATGTTATCAAGAAGATGACAAAGAACGAATGGATTTTTTAAATAAATATATGTCGAAACTTTTTTTTTGCTCTAACCCCCATCAGAAAGTACGATCATGTTGTACATTTAGTTGGCATGCTCGATTAAATTTTCTATAAAAATACCAACATATTTGTGAAACTTCGGCAAAGTTGGGACACTATCCAAAAAACAAAAATCACCTCGAAGATTGCAATAAAATACGATTAAAAAAAAGTTACACGTTATTTCGACACATGCACGAATCTACAGCTCCGAGTGCACGCACTCACCAAAACGGAGCTGCTCTGGACGAAAACAAAAGAAAAAAATCAATTAAACATCCAAATGATAGTATCAGCATCAGGTGCATACACACGTGGGAACGTGAAAAAAAAAAGAAAAAAAAATAAGAGCACACAATACACATATATATATATATATATATAATACCCAGCACGCCATCGCGTGTTCATTCATATTCAAAGTAGCAGCGGCAGGGTCACCCTTCCATGTCCCAGCAAACATTGCAATGCACCACACAGCCTCGAAATCATCTGTTCCGCGGAAGGTATAAGCTCGAAAATTTTCGCCCCCGTTGGACGTGTATAAACGAGTGAGAACCAAGAGGTACACACAGGAAGGGGATGATCATGTGAAACTGATATCAAAGGGCCTCGGAGACACTGTCGACAAGTGTTATTAATACACGTGGCAGAATTTTCTTATCCACGTTTGTAACGAGACGCGAGATCGCGTGCACAGCGATGCCCCCGCGAGAGATTGCCCACATTTTCGCAGATAATAAAGTACCGTTTCGCTGTTGTTGCCGTATGGCCGCTCTTTCTCTCGCACCCCCCCGACTCCTTTACACTTCCGGACGCGTAAATGAGAGAGAGAGACTGTACAACACTCATTTGTGTGTAAGGACGTACACGAGAGCGCGTTTGTACGCAGTGGTTTTTCGAAGCGAGCGAGGGAGATGTCGTTATCAAAAAGTAATAATAACAATATAAGTGACCAGGAAGTTTGAATATTCATCAATTGGCTCGGTGTAACTCTCGCCTTTCGCACTCGATTCGCGTGTCGTTGAAAAAAAAAAAAAATAAATAAATAAAAATAAATCCAATAGAGGGTGTGTGTGCATGAAAAAAGTTATTATATATTTGCACGATAATCTATAATACTTAGTTGTGCTGTTTATTGACGAATCGAACGAGCGAGCATTTGATACGCGCGATATTGCAGCTCTCGTCTTTCCCAGCAAAAATTTTCAAATCAAGTTGTAATCTGTAATAAAGCACGATACAACTCGTGATTGTTTATTAGCAGTGAAAAAACTTGCACGTTATTTTTGTGGTCCTTGTGCATAGGTAACAAACACGAATTAAATGCCATTAATGTGATTATTTTATCAAAAAGTAAAAGAATTATTGCACAGTTTTAACATTTTACGTATTTAATCGAGCCTGAACTCGGTGAAATGAGCGAAAATTACTTAGTTCGAATTTGTTGATGTACGAGTACTACTACAAAGTTTAATGTTACGAGTTATGAATATCATAAAAAATGTATATGCTGCGCTAAAAAAAAAAAAACATGATTTTCTTTAGATTTGGATATCGCAACTTTGGCCAATGATTGATTTTAAAGAAAACGTTTTATTGTCATTGAATAAAAGGGCTTTAGAAATTAAAAAAAAAATTTTAATTAAACATATCAAAATTACCTGACCTTTCATTTTTGTTAAAAGGTAAACTTTATGATGATTATTATTTACATCGAAGACTTGTCATTAAAACTTCAAAAATGACAGAACTTCCCCACCTCCTTTTATCTAGGTAATTATTTAAATAATTGAAAAGACACAGCGATGATTTCTTGATGATTGACAATTTATTTTCCGATTACGAGTATTTTTCAGTGCACTTTTTAAAACATTTTGTCTACCTACAAAATAAATAATTTAACTATTGCTAATACCTTATAATATGCTTAATACAAAAAGTGGATGAATAGTAAATATTGTTTATCCAGTTTTTATTCATTTAAGAAATGTATTTCAACTTTTCTGCACTTGCCTATCTTTTTTACTTATATAGATGTACCTAACGGTTCATATGTACAGTAAAAAATCTTCAATCTCAAAAACTACAACTTACTGAAACCTTCTTATTAAAATAGTAGATATTTTTATTAGTGATTTCCAAAAATTTTACGAGTACTGTTTATTTCTATGAATTAGCACAATAAACGAAAATTCTCAAAAATGAAGCATGACTGTTTTCATGTGCATTACTCATTACAGTTATAATAAAATATTTCAATGGCCATCTGTCACCCACATTAGAAAATTACAGTACAGTAAATACTTAGATAATACCCTACATGGCTATAATGGTATATCATATCATCTATGAATAAAATACTATTCGACCGCAATGGCATGTGGGGTATTCTCTAAATACTCACTGTACTATAATTTTCTGATGACAGAAGGTGACAGAAGGTCATTGAAATATTAAATTATAAATGTAACGAGTAATTAAAGTAGTCATTCATTGTTTTTACTGTTAAGGCATACAAATAATATTTTATGCTAATGAAATCCATTGAAATAATTATTGTTTCGCACAAAACATATGAGAAATCCTTATTTTTAAGAAATCTACAACTTTTTTGACTTAATATAGAGCTTAGCCTAAGCATGAACCTAAATTATATGTAAAAACTAATACTAAGTTCGTTCAATTTGTGAAAAACTTTTGCATATGAGTTTTGTGATTTTTAGCAGAGCAAATACTAGGTCTAATGTAAAAGAGTTTTTCCACTTTGTTTGCTTTTGAAGCATCCCTGAAAAATCATCATCTATTAAAGTCGATTAATGTGATGTACTTTTACAGTCGATAAGTTTTATTCTCACAACTACATAGAAAAAAAATCAAGTTGTTTCTATAGGGAATAAAAACTACGTTTCTCTATGATTCTTGAGTTTTAGACCACCATGATTGTATCTAAAGACGAAAGCATGAAACTACTAAAAAAAGCATGATCGGTTTTTTTAGCATTTAAGGTAGAAAATTTAAATAAAATTTTCGATCGATTTGAGGTGTATAAACAAAAGGTAAATAAATATATAAAAAGGTCAATAAATAAATAAACTATTGTTAAATAATTATTATTCAAATTTCTATATCGTAGAGTGACCAGTTGATTACAATTCGTGAAGATGAAACCATCATACAAAAATAACAAAAACACTTTTTTTTGTTAATGTACTTGAAATGTCCAATAACTTTTAATTTTGAAAATTTTGTAAACAGTTAATATTTATAATACAAAGTATCAAAAACATCGTACAAAGTTACTTATAATTAGAGATAAGCGATTTACTTTTTGTTATTCTGGTGATGAATGCATCAATTTGTACTCAACTTTTATCTGCCAGATCCTGTAAACTTGTAAAATCATGAATTAAAAAATGACAAAATCTCCAAAGAAATTTTTTACTTACTAATTTGAGACACTAACATATTCAAATTCGCAGTTAGTATGAGTCAGTGCCCAAAAGAAATTTAACTATAAATTAAAAGAAAATAATTGTTTACCTTTTTAATACCAACATCGAAAATAAATAACTTTGAAAATTCGATTTGAAGGATCAATCATTTCTCCTTGTACTTAATTTTATATTTACTTGAACATCATTAATTATTTTAAACTTTGAAATAATGGTTAATTCCTTTAGCGTCTTGGATTTTGAATTTTGAATTAAAATTATAATAATAAAAGTATGAAATACAATTGTTTTACGTGATTTTTAAGGATACAAATGGCATCTAATCGATTCATTGTAAATCAAGTTATTGCAATGTGCGCTCACTCTAAGTTTTGTATTTGTTTTTGTTGTCACCAATTAATGAATGTTATAACTATTGACTCATACGTCAAAAATTGAAGCATTGCAAGCTTTGAATCAGTTCATACTTGCATATATTTCTAAATAAAACAATGAATTATTATTCACATTTATAACGCAAATAAGACCACGACGAGACATCCATCGGACTAAATTCAAAACCATATGCTCAATTGTATCTTCAATGCGATGACCAGATGTCGACCCTGGTATACCATGTGATGGTAACTCTCATGATAATGGGTGTTTTCCGCAATCGTCACCAGCAAGTAATTTAAGGTTGCGCTCTACGTTACCGTCAAGTCGGTAAGTCAACTACCTTGAATTAACTGGCGCTCTGTTCCGTTATCTAGCCAGTTAAAACAGCAGACGACGTGAAAGTCGAGAAAAAAGTGAAGATTTTATCGCTATTGACTGTCGTCTGCTGTTTTAACTGGCTAGATTACGGAACAGAGCGCCAGTTAATTCAAGGTAGTTGACTTACCGACTTGACGGTAACGTAGAGCGCAACCTTAAATTACTTGCTGGTGACGATTGCGGAAAACACCCAATGTACCACTATCGATCAGTGGCAAGAAAGCACACTGTAATTTGGCCCTTACTGACGTGAGATACAATTGTGTGCGATTGGCGAGTGAGCAAACTTTGTTTACATTTTCAAAAAACATGTGTGTATACATTGAACCTAAAAAAAGGTTATGTTTTCTTTAAGTAATAGTTTAGTTTTAACAATTTCAAGTACCAAAACAAGTAATGTGCACAGTATTTGTTATTTGAATCGAAAATTCGTTTAAAGCTCTTAAGTTTCAACAAAAAGATTTTATCAGTGAATCTCGTTCTCTCAGTTGATCTAAATTTTTATTCATCATGCTCATTGGTGTTTAATTGTATTGTTCAGCCATTGCATTATCAAAAAACAATGTTCCACTTAGGCAAATCAACTGTAACATTTTTAAATATTATCCTACATTAATTTCGTTTTTCATGGCTAATGTGTCAAATTGCACTTAGGTCTTCCAAAGTTTTAATATTCAAAAAAGTGTTGTTCGCTTGTGCACCATTGCAACTGATGGTTTGACAGAGTGGAGTAAACTGAAGACAAAATATTCAGAAATTGAGCAGACGTCGACGTTGAAGATATTAAAAAAATGCAGTACCAAAGAAATGAACAGGTAGGGTTGATCCGCTCCCTGTGTTTTACCAATTTACTTGAGACTTGATTGTTTATTTTATCACATTAGATATGGGATCTCAGAAGACTTGACTAATTCATTAAAATCTTCATCCAGTCACACAAAATTTGATACGCTGGATGATTACATTTTATCTGATTTGTTAAAAGTCGACGAGCTGGATAAAATTTGCACAGCTATTTCAGCAAAAAAGACAAAAAAGAAGACCAATGTAGTCTCGCCTCCAATAAGAAAGCACAAGCTTAATGTGAGATGACTTTTTTATTATCTTACGTAAAAATGACAACACTTTAAAGTTTTAAAATGATCCTACAGCACTTGAATACCGCAGTAGGCCTGCGAATAGGCATTAATTGCATAAGCTGGTGCAAACTAAGTGTGACTGGAACTCATTGTAATGTGGAAAATTGGCAGTACCGAGACATAACAGACGTGTCTTTGAATGCAAGCCCAATCGAAGTTATCGACACAGTCAGTATGACAATGAAAGTTAATCTAAAGTTTATGATTCTATGATGTCAAAACTTTATTCCTACACAGGCATTGAAGATTTCTAGAGATTTGCCAGATGCTTATGCTTATGTTATGGAAAAAGAGCCCTTTAAATCCACAGCAAAATTAAATGCTACTTTAGTCAAATTAAATATGAGAAAACTGCAAGTCATGACTGCGATTTTAACTACATTATCCATGAGGACCAATGAAAGGGAAAAAGATTCACCAGGTAGGGAGTAATATTGAAATTTAAAATATGAGACTTTTAGTTTGAAAACATTAAAGTAGCATTTATAATTCTCTTGGTAAATGCAACAAAATTGTTTCCAGCTTGTTCCCTATCTGATTTGGTTTATACAATGAAACTGCATGTTCCATCAAGACATTTTGGAGTATTCTTTGGTCACGAGGCTGTATCAGCAGATCAAGTTATTGAAAATCTTATTTACCAGCGAGATTGCAATCTGAATAATATCACGTGTGTTAATATGGGTGATGAAATTCAACAATATCATGCATCCATGGACCATTGTTCAAAGGAGGAACTAAACAGGTGTTTGATGCTGGTATTAACTTTTTTTGATTTAGCAGTCCTACAAAATCGATGATACAAAATAAAAAGACTAGTTGTTACACAATCAATTAATTGTATGTAAATAGTAGAGCAATTTTATAATACTAATTATATTTATATTCTATACATTTATATTCTATAAATTTAAAGTTGAATGTAACAAAGTCAATAAAAACCATTTTCATTAATAAAACAAATTTCCCTGTCAATCCATTAGAAAGTTTAGTCTACTGACTTTCTACTTGAAGCTAAAAAAGTAGGATCTAGTGTTATCTTTTCAAAATTTATGACATAATATTTTGCGGCAGCAAAACCGTACACGTCAATTCAAATGATCTCGTATGGATCATGGGAAATCAAATTTTTCATTCAACTGTACGAACAGGTTTGCGGGTGGGATACCTTCCTCATTGAGATAATTAAGTGATTGATGGCAATCGACGAAAATTACGCTTGAATTGGTCGAGGACCGCCGCTAAGGCAGCTTCGAGTGACACGCCCCTCCGAACAAACCATCATTGTAGTTTTACGCTACGATGTCGGGATAGTGATTTTTTTCAACGTTCTTTTTTTTAATATAAATTAAATTTAAATTTTTTACGTAAATTTTTTCTCTACATCAGTACGCAATCCTAGAAATAAATGTATTATTTACTTGTTGGGCTGGATCAACCTTTTTCGGTCATTGTATGCCCGTTTCTTTTTTAATGTGACATACATGTGCTCTGCAAAATTTAGGCCTGACTTACCCAGACTTGAGTGGATTTTTTGTACTTAAAAAAACATGGGGTTCAATTTTTAATTCTGACGAAAGACTCGGGCTCAGCAAGCATAAATACACATAAAATAATTATAATCTCGTCCACTGGAATGATAATAATTTTTTTTTTGTGGGGTTTTATTTAATTGAATGTTTTAATTTCAAACGCTTTTTGGTTTATTTGAAATGTTGATGGCTTTTTCTTAAATATGTTTGACAATATCACAATTTTACTCCAAAAACCATAATATTGTTTCGTTGTTTTTGACAAAAGCAAATTCGATAAAAATAAATAATTATATATTTTTCCCAGTTAAAATTAATTTATTAAGATTCCTTGCAACGCGATGATAGACAAAACTTGTTTTAACCAAAAATAATGCAAAATGTTTCACATAATATAATTATTCTGTCTACTATTTTATTAAGAAGTAACGTAATAAAAATTTCGGCACAAATTATGAAAAATTGCAACGCAACGTATTTAAAAAAGTATCTGGCAGATGGTAACGGATAGTAAACAACAGCAGTGACAAAGTACCTTTGACGGCGCCGTATGCATTTTCCCTTGGCGTTCCAAAACAGTAATAAGCATAATAAATCACTAAGTAGGTGTTAGTCACTCCTACGCAGTTTCCGTAAAAGTCACATGTTTTGACTATTATTCTTACGAATATTAAAATTTTTCCTTGTATCTTTTCATTTATATTTAGAAGTATAATAAAACTCGAGAACTTATTGTGCATACGGATAATTTGGGGTCTAATAAAAATGTAAATTATTCACTAACGGCTGTTGTACGTGCCTCAACTTTTTTATGGGATTTGAGAAATGTTTATGCAATGTTATCCAAACGTTGAATAAAATTTTATTAATAAAAAAAAATTCTGATATGGTAAATTTTATGAATTTATCATGAAGGATGACATTTTCGATGGTTCAGCCATAATATTGAAACTACTTTTCTCGATACCATCGTATGTATTATAATCGACTGTGCACGTGATGAGGCCTAACTAAATAACTTGAAGCTAAAAATTTTAAATTATTATAAAAATGCTATCAATAAAACTTAGATGGTAAATGTTTTTCAAATTTCTTTACAGCTTTGAAGTTGGTGCATATGTTTAAGCTGATAACAAGATGAAAGCCTGCATTAAAAATTAATAACTAGGTCGCTTAAAAAAAACTTGAGTTTCAAAAAATTATTGGGGTAGTTTTTCCTTGGTTATTATATTACTATAAAATCCACGAGGTATATAATACCTGGTAAAACCTAAATTACCAATAGCTATGCTTTTTTTACAGGTGCAAGACTAGTAACTATTGATACATGAAATGTAAAACAATGTATTGTAAATGCTAATAAGAAAAAATAAAAATTATAATACGAAAAGAAGAAAGCAGAAATAATGTAGAAACAATTCTTGTTTTCAATAATTCATCAATATAACTTTATCTTTTATAAAATAAATAAATTAATAATACAAACTATTAGTTCATTTATTCAAGTTTGTTTAAACAATAAATCGATAAAAAATCATGCAAGTAGTCAGAAGGAAAAATAAATTTGTTTGATCCATCCAGGGTATATTTTTCTGTAAGATATAGATCATTTTTTTATCATCATTATTTTGAATAGACTGGAATTTTTATTCCATCCCTAACCATCCCCGCTGTTTTCTAAGCTGGGAAGGCTTAGAAAATAAAAATGATAATCGTATTACAAGGGAATCTTATTCTTCGTTTAGAGTTGGATGCATACTGTTTCTTTTTTTTTTTTTTTGTGATGGCATATTGACAAAAAAAAAGTTTTCAACTTAATCTTATACCTTGATTGAAATATCTCCAATGTACCAAATTTTTGTTGTTTATTAAAAAAAAAGATAAACATGTGGCGACTCACTTGTATTAGACAAAAAGTTTTAATTCACATTTAAATCGTCAAATAAAGAAAGGAAGCTACTTATGCAAATATTCATTTTATGAATATTGGTACAGAAAAAGCTACATTCCTGCGTAGGAGTGTAAAATACGTCAAAGTGTTGTTTCTGCATATGAAATGCTTCATTAAGAATAATCAAATTACTTTAATTATAAATAATTTACATAAATACGTAGCTTTATTTCCGCCAGATTCACGATAGAATTTGCAGTAATAACAACGCAGGTGAGAAACAGGGGATGAGAGAGAAATTCTTACCACTGATTTTATTTAAAGCTTCAAGATAGCAGTACTCATGTATCTAAGGCTTGGTAAACACGCAACTAAAATTTATGACATGTTTGATGAAACCATGAAATATCTGAAACAATTTTTAACAAAAAGCAAAAACCACATAAAAAATGGTATCTTAAATTTAAAGTGATTGATCATGTTATCAATTATGAGAGACATTTTCGAAAAAAATTATCCATAGAAAATAACAAGGCTCGGGTTGGGTACCAAGTTGTTTTTAGTGTTCAAAATCAATAAAATAAATTGAATAGACAACAGTTAATCAAGACTCAAGTGCAAGTTATAATAGAGTTATTAAAAATTATCTGTACATGAAAAATGGTAGTATAGTGTCCCTTGTCTTATAATTAGCTGAAAATGTGTTGCAAAAATACGGTACATCTTAAGATCAGTACATGTCAACATTTTCTTCCAAGATTTTTTTTTATATCTTCTTTATAAATGATTTTTCGATGTATTTAATTGCTCGTACATGCTATAGTTAGCTGGAATTTAAAACAATTTTTGACTTTGAGGTGATTGTCTTGTGTATAAGAGAAAATGGGTAAAAAAATAAAAATACTCTTTTTTCAGGAGCACACTGTCAGATTTTTTCACTCTACTGTAGTGGTCTTTACCGGATATGATTCGTTAACACGCAATTCTCTCGAGATAGATACGGGATATCTTTTTAGAGCTCTAAAGGTGAAGTATGTGAGAAATTGGCTGAAAATTTGTTTACGAGTTGGATGTTTACGAGAAATAGACTTCCTTCTATACTGCAGCTATTTTCAAAAGGGTCCCATACGAGATGAAAAAACAGAGTACGCGATGAGAGCTTTCAGTTGAAATTGTTTGAGTCAAGAATGGCCCTTTTTTTTAACGAATGTATACTTTTTTCTAATAAATTAGGTAATTATATTCTATTGCTAAAAACTACAGTAAAGTATATTACAATTAGTTCATTACTCAAAAAGTAATGTAGTATGTTGGAAACTTTCAGGCTCTTACCGCGTCGATTTGCTTATAGGCCAATTTGGAGTTAAAATCTGTATGACAACACTGTAAGGAGTTTCATGCGTAAAAAAATCCTCAATTTAAGAAATTTCTTTTAGTTTTTAGATAAAATTGTATAAAAAGTTAATCATGCCATACGAAACAAGAGTTTACTACGTGTTTGAAAAAAAAAAAAAAAAAACATTAAATTTACAATATTTCATACAAGTGCACACTGTCAATTATTTAAAAATTCCTTCAAATTATCACCCGATTTAAATCTTCTCAAGCATATTTCAGTGTTCTAATACATGTGTATAAATCTTTTATTAGCTCCTTTTTTTAAAAACTTTTTTCGCCGTTAGGATGGATTCTAACAAAAAACTGCAGTAACAATAAGTCCTTTTTGAAATGCTTTTGTGAAATCAGCTGCCAATAAATAATTAACCACCATCAGATTGATCCAAAACAATCTGTTTTATTATTCATTTGTTCCATCTTCGGTGTTCCGAAAAGGTACGTCTTTTGCATTATTTCCAATATAAATACTTTTTTCACATTCGGTATAATCCAAATAGGCGGTAAAATCTCTAGTACTACCGAACAAAATTTTTTTTCAGCTGTGAAAATTGTGGTTTTTCACGCGTGTCGTGATACCCTCACTCGCTCTATCCTCTTTAAAGCTCTTGTTATTTCAAGGGTGGGCTCAATTTTCAAAATGACGTTTTCGAGAATAATCTCTTTATCAATTAAATCACGTCCATCGTGCTTTATGTCAATTTTTTAATAATTACCTGGTATCGATACGTCATTGACGATTCCTTTATTTTTCAACCCCTATACGGAAAACTTTATGCTCGTCGTTTTTCGAAGACACAAGTCGAAACAATCGAAATCGAAAAAGTTAGCGAAGCCGATTCCACGATGCGTATCACGCGAAAATTTATACAACAATTTCAAACCTCATTCTTATGAAAAAAAAGCGTAACTCAGCTACAACAATTTCCCCGCTCTGTTCTGCTTGCGCATTGAGAAAACACGAAACATATGTACATACATT